ATGGGCAACCACTGAAGACTTTCAGCAGTGGGTGACATGGAAGACCTGTGTCCTACAAAGATGTTGGCAGCTACAGAGGGTGGATTGGAGAGGGGTAAGACTGGAAGCCAGGTGAATTACAATGGTGTACGGAAGAGCTAAACTAGGGTGGTGGCTGTGGTAAGGAACAACAGCTCCTATGGCAGTTCATTCTAGGTGGCTATAAATGCAATGACGGCACCATCAGTTTGGAATGGTTTAGGTTCAAGCAACTTCCTTAACTGTAGGAAGACTATGCAATACCCATTGGCAGGTGAGAGGTGAAGGGGTGGGTGGAGAAATGGAACATCCAAGAGGAAGAAAGGAAGAGAATCTTTCTCAAGGATCTTAGACTTAAGAGCTGGAATAGATATTAGAAGTCACCTGATTCAACCCTCTCATTTTACAGATGAGCAACTGAGACCCACAGAGATGACTGGCCTATAATACAGAAATATATTTTGCACGACTTCACCTGTACAACAGGCATCATATTGCCTGCCTTCTCAGTGGGATGTGGGGGGAGAAAAAAGAACTGGAAGAAGAGAGGGAATCTGAAACTCAAAATTTTTAGAAAGAATTGGGGAGAGGCAGGAAGAAGTGGCCTGCCTACTCACAGAGGTTGCTGAGGGGCTACGCCAGGGGCCGCCTCATTGGAAATGAGCCTGTTGGGGGTCCCATCCTACCCTGACACACTATCGCACTGCTCTTCAAAAATAATGACTCTCACTCAGATAGCACTTTGAGGTTTGCAAAGCACTTTACATATGTTAACTCATTCGATCTTCACAACCTTGTGAAATAGGTGCTATTATTATCTTCATTTTACAGATGAAGAAAATGGGGCTGAAGGTGTCTTGCCCAGAATCATACAGCTAAGGGTCTGAGGCAGGATTTGAAATCAGTCAAATCTATTATGCGCTCAATATGTGTTAAGCACTGTGCTATGTGTAGGGGATAAAAAGGCAAAAACACTATGTCTGCTCTCAAGAAGCTCATAGTTGAATGGAGAAGAAAACATGCCAACAACCATAAAGAAACAGGATAAAATGGGGAGTGGTCTCAGAAGTAAGGAACTAAGAAAGACTTTGTAGAATGCTAGTTTTTAGCTGAGACTTGAAAGGAAACCAGAAGGTGGAAGTGGAAAATACGTATACCAGGCACAGAGGGACAGCCAGTAAACATTCTTGGAGTCAGGAGATCCGAGTATATTGTTTGAGGAATACCAAGTGTCACTGGATCTCACAGTAAGTTGGGGGGGGGGATGTAAGGTGTGAGGCTGGAAAAGTGGGAAGGGGCCAGGCTATGGGAGGAATTTAAAAGCCAAAACAGAGGATTTTATATTTGATCTCGAATCAATCCATATGCTGGGGCATGTTTATATGGTTGAACTTATATTTTTAGGAAAATCAATTTGAAGGCTGAGCAGAGGATGGATTGGAGTGGACAAGGACTCGGGCAAAGAGAACAACCAGGGGGCTATTGCAATGGTCCAGGCATGCCATGATAAGGGCTCTGGCATCATGGAGCCAGCAGTGTCATGGGAGAGAAGAGATTATATGCAAAAGATATATGACTAGATGTGGATATGGAGAGTGGGACAAAATGAGGAGTCTAGGATGACACACAGATTGTGAGCCTGGGTGACTGGAAGGACGGTGGTACCCCGGACAACTGACAAATTAGGAAGAGAGCAAGGTTTGGGGTGAAAGATAATGAGTTCAGCTTCAGATACGCCGAATTTAACATGTATGTGCGTATTCTATCGGAGATGTCTAATAGGCAGCTGAAGATGCTTGACTGCAGGTTAGCAGAAAGGTTAGGGCTGAAGTAGATCTGAGAATTACCTATACAGAAATAATTGAAATCATGGAAACTGAGGCAATCATCAAGTCAAATAATACAGAAGAAGAGGGGCCCAGGCAGAGCCTTGGAGGCCACACCCCAGGGTCCAGGAAAGGAGGCTGAGAGAACGAGAACCAGTAGAGGAGAGTAAAGAAAAGAGTAAAAGAAAAGAGAAGAGGGTAACTGACAAGGTCAAAAGCTATAGAGGTCAAGAAGGATGAGATTGAGAAAAGAGTATTAGACTCAGCAATTTAAAAAAATCATCAGTAAATTTGTAGAGAGCATTTTTAGTTGAATGAGGTTGGAAATCAGATTGCAAAAAGATAGAAGAGAAGGCACCTGATGTACATGGCCTTCTCAAGGAGTTTAGCTGTAAAAAGAGAGACCTAGTGGGGATGGTTGGATGAAGTGAGGGTTTCTTAAGGACAGGAGAGATATGGGGATGTTTGTAGGTAGTAGGGAAACAGCCAAGAGACTGAAGATTAGGTGGAAAGTATGGGGCAATCTGATGGAGAAGACAGGATGGAACAGGATCATTTGTGCACATGGAGTTAGCCTTAGCAATGAAACAGCCCTTCAGGTGAGACACCAATGAGGGTGGAGAAAGTGGCAGAATTTGAGAAGACCAAGTTCTGTGAAAGGTTCTAGGGAGGATGAGCTGTGGAAGCCTGAGGAGGGATGTAAAAGCTTGAAGAAGGTGCTGTGGTGAGATAATTAATCTATTAGGGAGGTGTAAATGGTATAAAAAAGAGGTGTATTGTCTTACCATAGTAAAAGTGTAGTTGATTACATAACAAACTTGTAGTGGACCCATTTAGCATAAGTTTCATGATGCTTCTCCAGCTTTGTTCAGCACTAAATGAGCAGGAGCAAAAGCAGTGGATGGTGGGAATATTTCAAGGCATTTCAAAGCCAAGGGTCAGTAGGGCAAGATCAGTGGTAAGATAGGGGGGTCGAAGGACTCAGAGAAGATGAGAGTGTAGAGTTGAACTGGCTCACCAAAAGGGTCAAAGATGAGAGGAAGGGAAGAGAGTATGACTACAGATACAAGAAATATTTAAGGATGATGGCAGTATCAAGAGTGTGTGGCTGTGCTGGAACAGAGAAGTAGGTCTTGGTGAATTGAGTACAGAGATTAAGCTATCTGAGGAAGTATCAATAGATAGTTGCAGTTTCCAACTAAGAGGGCAGAAGTTGAGAAGATAAAACTGTTCATTGAGTATCTTGGAGGACCCTAGACAATAAAGAGCTACTAGACTCTTGATCTGATGGTAGATAAGGATTGAACGAACCTCAAAAAGAAGAGAGGTTACTGAGCAATAATGGTAGAGGAAGATCCTGGAAGTGGTAATGCAGAGCAAGAAGCCAACTCCTTTATTTCAAGTTGGGGGAATGAGTGAAAAGTACAGCCAGTGCTGGAAAGCCTGGTTCTCAGCAGCCTGAGAAGCTGTACCATGGAGAGACCACCAGGTCTTAAGAGAATGCAAGATGGAGGAAGCACTAAAGGAAAACTCAGCTCTTCCTGACTCCAGCACTCTATCCATGGCACCAATTGTCTGTCTCTAAGATAAGAAAGTTAGATGTCCATGGTAAAAAGCCTTAAGGGCCACATAACCCACCTGCCCTTGGGGCGAAAATGGAATAGTGGGCTTCAGAAAGTAACAGGAGAGAACATCTTTGAAATGTGTTCAGTTATGGAAAAAGGATATAATCTAAATATAGAGTATTGTTTTAACAATCTAGAAGTCGCTAACAAGCCACATCCCGGAAAAAGGCATTTAATCAGTGCAAGGGGGTGGGGAGGAGGGTCTAGATAAAGAAGGCCTAGGTCAGCTTCTTGGTAATAAATGATTTTTAAATTTACTGGGTGCCCAGATTTTGCAAGAAAAGACTAGACTGCTGTGACTTCACCTTTTACTAACCTGCCTAACCTTCCTAATATGGGTGAGAAAAGACCTAAGAAAACTAAGCTTACTGACCTGAAGGTCAATAAGCAGGAAAAAATCTACTCCACTACACAACGAGCAAATTCCAGGGCAAGGAGCGAGCAGCACAAATCAAAATTCAAGCCCTGCAGCACAACCCCCACACCAGCTCCACACACCCCTCCCTACCCAACAACCAGAATTTCCACACACAAATTTAAATAGTATTTAAAAAACAAAACAAAAACTGCCACCTCAGCCAGAAAAGCCTACTTATTCAAAGTGCCTGAGGCCTATGAAGACAACACCTTCCCCCCACCCCAAACGTCAGGCACCCAGAAGTGCACAGATCAGGCTGGAGCTGGTGGGGGGGTGAGGGGGGAGATGGGGAAAAGAGGACGGATGCTAGGACTCTAGGGGGAGGGGAAAGGAATGGGAGACTACTCCGTAGAAGAGGGGCAGGAGTTAAGTTGGGGAGATGGGAAGCTGGGGCAGGGGGTAAGGCTGGGAAGGGGAGCAAACTGTTGAAGGAGCCAGGAGGTAGGTAGGTCAGAGGGGGCTGGGTGGGTGGTCAGGGGAACTGATGCAAGGCAGGAGATAAAGGGATGAGGGTTGGGAAAGAGAGCAAGAGGAAGGGTAAGGTAAATAGGGGAGCTGGGGCAGGGGTAAGGGCAAAGTGTGGGCAGGAGGTAAGGGGGGGTTTAGGGGAGCTAGGACAGGGGTAGGAGGGAAGTGGGTAGTTAGGGGAGCTGAGGCAGGAGATAAGGGGGGTTGGTGGTTAGGGGAGCAGGGGCAGGAGATAGGGGGGTTGGTAGTTAGGGGAGCAGGGGCAGGAGATAAGGGGGGTTGGTAGTTAGGGGAGCTGGGGTAGGGGCAAGAGGTGGGCAGGAGATAAGGGGAGTTAGGTCAGGGGATTTGGGGCAGGGACAGGAAGTAAGGGGGAGTGGGTGGTCTGGGGAGCAAGGGCAGGAAGTAAGGCGGTGGGTGGTCAGGGCAATAGTAAGGAGGGAGGGTGGTTAGAGCAGGAGGTAGGGGGGACGGTGGTGAGGGAAGGGAGCTGGTACTGGGGCAACAGACGATGCCCGCCCCCTCCGACCTCGTGGGCAACTCCTCGGGGTGCCGTGGGGCAGGGCAGGACGACACCGGCCCTCCAGCCGGGGCCCTCCGGGGGGCGCCCCCCCCCCCGCCGAGCCGGGTCAGGGCTTCACTCACGAGTCTCCGAGGAAGTCGTGGAAACGGATGCGGCCGACCGTGGTGTCCGCCTCGAAGTTGGGGGCCTCGTCTCCGAGCAGCAGACCTCCGGGCATGGCGGCGGCGGTGACGGTGGCGGCGGCGAGCAGCAGGAGGACCGGGAGGACAAGACCGGGAGGACAAGGACCAGGAGCCGCAGGCAACGTGAGCGCTCTTTAATGCGACCGCTCTCAAGGCTGCAGAAAAAGAGGGACAAGACGGGGGCGGGGCCTTAAGGGGGCGGGGCGTAACGTAAGGAAGGGGCAGGGCCTGGAAGAGCTGACACAGGGCGGTAGGAGCTGGAAGGAAGGGGGTGGGGCGTAATGTCTGAGGGGGCGGGGTCGGAGGCTGAGGAGAATGATGTAGAAGAAGGGGCGGGGCCGGGGTGAGCGAGGCGAGGCGGGGGGGGCGAGGGGCGGGGCCTGAGGAGTTTGTCCGTAGCTTGTGCGTGCTGGGGGTGGGGTTATCTCTCCGGCTCCCTGCTGGCAGTTGGCGCTGAAACTTCCCCCCCACCACCTCCACCCCACCCTCCCTTTAGACCTGGTCAACAGGAAACTGGCAATTTAATGAATTACCGAGTTTGGCAGGAGAATAAATTTTGTTATTCTCGCTTTTTGCGAGATAATTATCTGGATTTGTGGCTTCTGCTGCTCTGGAGGGGAGTATCCGAGTGCTTGAGATCTCCAGTCCTTCGGAGCAGCTGAACTGTCCGTCCTTGCAGGAGATCTCAAGTTCTCTTCAGCCACCTGCTTCTGCTGGGGTGTCTTCTGTGTTGGCACCCCGGGTCGTTGTTTCACTGAAAAGCTGCTAGTTAATTTGAGGAGTCTTGCTGAAGGACTCGTAGAAATGGAAAGAATTAGGACCCATCTCCCCAAGCTCCCCGGAGGAATCATGAGATGAAGTTTCCAGAAACGTAGACCGGCCTGACCCAGGCTCGCATCCGAAAAGAGATGTCAGTCCATTGAATGCCTGCGTCACTTTGTATCTCCTGTTGCAGCAAGAATAATACACTGCTTTGGGTTATCATGATTCGTGTACCTGTCTTGTATTAGATTAAAGAGTGCTGGATTTGGAGACAGAGGGCCTGGGTTATATACACTTATATATTTTGATAACCAAATTTCAGTGTAATTGGTCTCCTTGGTAATTCTATGTGTAATGCAGAACATTATTTTACCATTTAGGTAGTAGAACCCTTTAGGCCATGGAAAACTCCAAATTCCTTAGCAAGACCCTTATCTGGCTGCTCAGGCCACAGCCCTCAGATCATATCTCTGGAAGCCTCCATTGTGAGAAAGTTTGCAGAGCATTATCATATCTAGATAGAGGGAGAGGGGTGTCCTTGACCAGCCCCCCCCCAAAAAAAACCTCTTCCTCTTGCCAGACTTCAAAGATCCATCCCCCTCCCTGTCCTGTATACTCCCTATATAAACCCTGGCTCGACCCCTGATGAGGGCTGCTTGATTTGGCTGTGAATATCCCTGGCAGCCTGGTGCTAATATAATAAAGTCCACAATTTAAAATTAGCCTGGGTGGTCAACTCTCTAATTTCTCGGTATAACATTTGTATTTTATTTTCCAATCCAATAAACACTTATTAACCGACTTTTACATGCCAGGCACTGTGCTAAGTGCTAGGGATACAATTAATAAAAAGAAAGTCGGTCCTGCCCTCTAGGAGCTTACAATCTATCGGGAGGGGTGCACAGAGAAAGCACGCAAAAGGAGTTCGTAAAGAGGTGGGGTGGAGAGCGGTGGCGGTGGGCATCTTGTTCAAGTCGAGTTGAAAGCTTGACAAGGCAGCAGATGCAGAGTGGAAATTTTTATGCCTTCAAAAATTATTCTGAGAAGAGGTCCCTAGGCTTCACCAAACTGGATGATCTTTTTCTTTTCCAAGTTTATGATTCCGTGAATACATTGTCTTTTTCTTTGACCTTTCTGCGGGCACCTAGAATGAACTCACATTTATATAGCTGAAAGCTTATAATAATCCTGTGAGATTGAGGGTGTGTTATTATTTCCATTTTATGGATACAGATAATAACTTGACATTCCCGTAGGATTGTACCTGCATTATTGACTCACAACAACCTTTTAATTTCTACAGATATTATCTCCATTTTACAGATGAGGAAACTGAGGCTGAAAAAGGTTAAGTGGCCTGTTCAGGGTACTATAGAGGTTGTTGGATTTGAAACCAAGTCTTCCCCACTTGAAGTCTAGCATGATGGCTACTATACCATGTTACATACACTGAGATAAGTGCTTGGAGCATATGATGATGAATAAATATTTGTTAAATGAATGACTGAAAACGTTCAGGTCTTCATCGGTTGTTTTACCCCTTATATAGAAGAGACCCTCATTTAGCACTTTATAGATCTGCCCCTCATTTTTTTTGAGGCACGTAGAATTATCTTGTTTCTCTGTTTACACACAAAGTTTTCTCAATTCAAAATCCTACTTCACAAAGCTTTCTTTAATAAAATGGAACTAGAGGCATAGATTCTGCCAGAATAAATAACTTGTCAACCCCACCCCAGCTCTTCAGGATATTTGACATGGATTTGATTTTTCACTCAGCACAGTAGGACCCACCAGAACTTTGTCTTAAGGTGCCATCGTATTGGGGTGGGGTGGTGGTAACCTTTTCTCCCAGGAGTCATCATGATCATTCAGGATTCTGGCTCCAAGTCCAAAGCCACATAGTATAATATACTGCTCTTTCTGCTTATTTGGCAACATGAGGAAGACCTTTTGCAGCCTTATACACAGAGAAGATTTAGGTTTCTGTCACCCCATTCCTACTAGTTCCTGACACCTTGCTCATTTTTCATTAATATGTTAGCTGATAAAAGCTTGAAATGGGACCTCTTCCAGGGTTATTTGCATTTTGAAGCAAGAGCCGGAGAAAATGAGGAACTGTGAAAAAAATTTTAAGCAAACAGTTGAAATGACGCTATTATTTCAATCTTATAATATGTGGGGCTTTTTCTCTTTTTTTTTTTGTGGGAGGGAGTGTCTTTTAGTAAAATGTGCAAAATGGTTACTTTGAAAGAGGCTTGAGGACCCAAGGGCATTAAGCCCTGTAGAACTAGACTCATGACCTTCACATTTTCCTGATTATATTGGGGGCCTTGGAGTTCCTGGTAACCTTTCAATAAATATTAGAGTGAGATTTGGGGGCTAGATTTTATTTTCCCTTTGGGTTAGTCTTTTCTAAAGTTATCAGAGAGACCTCTAACATTATATTGGGTGTCCCAAAAGTCTTAGTGTTGTTTTAAGCTTTCATAGCTTAACATCACTAAGGCTTTTGGGACATCCTGTGTACATGCAAAATACACGTATACATACATATATACATATGTGTGTATATATACACATAACTTATATGTGTATATATATATATATACACATAACTTATATGTGTATATATATATACATACATATCTATATTCATATGTGTGTACACTTTTTTCTTTTTTTAAAATTAATTTATTTTGATTTATCAACAATCACTTCCATATGCTTTTGAGTTGAAAATTTTTCTCCCCCTTTCTCACCCCCACCCTCCCCAAGACAGTGCACAATTTGATATAGGCTTTACATTTACATACCCATTAAACATATTTTTGCATTAGTGAAGTTGTAAGTAAAAATTAAAATCAATAGGAGGAACCATTAGAAAGATGAAACAAAACTCAACAGAAGGTAAAAATAAGTGATAGCAATTCAACTTCCATAGTTCTTTCTTTGGATATGGACAGCATTTTCCATCCTGAGGCCTCTGGAGAGGTCTTAGATCCTCGTAATGCTGAGAAGGGTTCAGTTTAACATTCTTAGTCTTTGCATAACATGGCTGCTATTGTGTACAAAGTCCTCTTGGTTCTGCTCACTTCACTCAGCATCAGGCCATATAAGGCTTTCCAGGTTTTTCTGAAGTCAGCCTGTTCATCATTTCTCATAGCACAATAGTATTCCATTACATTCATATACCACAACTTGCTCAGCCATTCCCCAATTGATGGGCAGCCTCTCAATTTCCAATTCTTTGCCACCACAAAAAGAGCTGCTATGAATATTTTTGTACATGTGGGTCCTTTTCCCATTTGTTTGATCTCTTTGGGATATAGCCCTAGAAGTGCTATTGCTGGATCGAAGGGTATGCACATTTTTGTAGCCCTTTGGGCATAGTTCCAAATTGTTCTCCAAAATGGTTGGATCATTTCACAACTCCACCAACAATGTATTAGTGTTCCAATTTTCCCACATCTTCTCCAACATTTATCATTTTCCTGTTTTGTCATGTTGGCCAATCTGATAGGTGTGATGTGGTACCTCAGAGTTGTTTTGATTTGCATTTCTCTAATCAATAATGATTTAGAGCATTTTTTCATGACTATAGATGGCTTTAATTTTTTATCTGAGAACTGTCTGTTCATATCCTTTGACCATTTATCAATTCCTTTTTATTTATAAATCCATTTATCAATTATCCTGATATTTCATTTCCTTGTGGCCAAATCATTCTTTTTTTTTTCCGCTGAGATTCTATTTGTACTTATTATACTTATTCTTTTCTAGATTTATCTTTTGGACATCCCCTAACCCAGATTATTCCTTCTCTGTATTTGGCATTTTCTTCTGTTCACTTATTTATATCTTCATCCTCAGTTTATAAACTGAGACTTTGTGCCAAGGCTGGGATTTGTACCTCTCCTAAACTCTCAGATGTGGCGAATAGGCCCTGCTTCATCCCATTTTCTCTGTAGTCTGGGTACTGCTGCGGCTAGAGGTCTAGATGGAATATCTGGGAGTAGGCAATGGACCCAGGCCCAATTCCTGGCTTCTGTCTCTGCCTCCTGATGGCTAAGCACAGGTGCTGACCCATGACTGATCTCTACCTCCTTGCACAATACCAAACTGGGAACTGTCTCCTTCTCTAGCTCTGGCCTTGGTAGTCTCCAATGGGTGTTGAATCTCTTGCCAGTCTCAGGCCTTTTGGAGGGTTCCTGGAGGGCAGCCTAGGTATGATACTGGATCTGGCCCTGTTTTCTTCTCTGGCTCCAATGGGAGCACTGCCTTTGGGTCTCTTGGAGAGCATGCATGCTCTGCCTGACTTTGTCTCCCTGGGCAATGACCTCGTAGTGGATAGCTCTGTCCCTTACTGCTACCACAACAGGCCAGGGAAGAAATATTGCTCACTTAAGATCCTGTTTACCAGTGCT